TATATGGAAATAGCTGGACGTATCGAGAACGGTGCTGTGTCTGTTGTTTATTACCATACCTATGTTATGTGGTAAACTACAAGATGTACTGAATGGTGAGCAACCAGAAGTAAATAGCTGTGTTTGCATGTAGAAGATTGGGGTGGTACTGTGTCTTTGGAGTATCCGAAAGTTATATTCAAATTGTCCTATTTGCTCCGCTAATCTGCTATATAGTATACTTTCTTGTAGGATATCTTGAGAAGCAGCCGCAGTGTGCGTTGTATGTGATACCGATGCGAGTATAGGGCACTTCCGCAGTGTATGCTCACCGAGGGGTGTTGGCCTAACATTGGCACTTGACACATACTTCTCCAAACATTGCCTGCAAACACATCATGTCACGTGACTTTTTCTATCAAATGACATATCTTGCCAAATGCTGTCGAACGAATAAGTACTAAACTCTGCCCGACATGGCCCCATCTCGATGTAGGTATAGTCCACGTGAATGAAGAGCTAGAGGACATATACTCGGTCTTCGACTGGTCAAACCCAACGGTAACGCGAGATGTGCTGCTGATACTGATTGTCACGGCAATAGCTACGTCGTTTGTAGATCTCAACTACTTGCTTTTAGCAGGTGGTGCGATAGGCTTGTTTTGCACTTCGCAGATTGGGCAGAAGGTGAGTCTGTTTAGTTTGGATGTGACCGTAGTAAGACTTTGTGTATTTTTTCAGTTGAATTATTCTGTGGTTGTCGTTGACTGTAGTACGTCTGGTGTTCATTGTAGTCTGGCGGTATTATTGGAGCCTTTGATACCGTTGTGGGGTTGATTATCATGGGTGTGGCTAACCGGCGACCGTGTGACGAACTTTGTCATAGTTCACTTACTACGCCGGTATCTAACTATTCTCATTTGAGCTGGCAACTCATTCTGACGAATATCCGATTATTAACCGAGGTTGGTATGTCCGCATCTCAAGGCCCATCATATCGATTGTACCTTGCTTCGCAGGTTATTTTATTCTTCAAGGGGATAGGTAAGTACACGAAGACACTGCGGTATAAGGAGTTCGAGACCTCAGGGAACGTGCACGCAGATGCCGAAATTCAAAAGAAAATATACCGGGATATACGGCGGAGAACTAGATCGTCGACTATGGAGCAGACACTACGCACTAAAAGCCAAGGACATCCAAAGACCGCCTCCAAAACGTGATGCTGGTGTCCATGTGTCTGTAGGCAGTTTTACGATTGATTCGAGACTATAAAATCTATTCCAAATACGACATTGCGCAACACCTCGGGGATATGAGTTCGATTTTGTCGGGTGCTATTCGATGCCGTATTTATCCTGACATGGGTACCACGTTTATCTAACTACTGTGCGGGTTTGGAATGTGCCAGGGCATGCACAAACTGAAAATAGCAATAGAAGATTCAAACTTCCAAACTCCTTACTCCAGTAATGAAGCATGTTGATTTATTTGATTGCAGCAACACACACCCGCCACTGACAAGCGCTGTGTGAGCACACTACTTTATTGCGCCATCTTCGGCACGACTGTTAACATTTATTAATTTTTACGTTCCTAAAACCACCGCCATTGTTTTTCAGCAAAGAATAGGACTTCTTCGCGTCTTCTCCATGCATACACCTTGACTATTGAGACGCATCTATCTTTACCTTCTTAAACTGACTTGTTCTCGGCGTAAACTCAAACTGTTTTGTGCCACTCCCGCTGGCACGGACAACCCACTCCTTCTCGTCGTGTCCTTCAATAGCAATCCTTGCCTTGTACCAAGATTTACCCACTTCTGTCTCACCCTTGTGGATTGTATCCCACACCCTGTTCGAGTCTTCATGCACCTGGCGCAGGACTTTGGACCCGTACGGACCACCCGCATTGGCTTTGATGACCTCGATTGTGTCTGAAGTGTATGTATTCAGGGATAATTTTGAGAGTATAAGAATTAAATATATTCCTTATCGAACGATGTTCACTGACCAGTGTAGGCGATGAGGAATATATACGTTTGACAATTACGCGCATTTTGATATGATCATAACCTGCTGACAGTAGATGCCACAAAGAGCACGCGTCCGTTAGTCTAGGTTAATTTAATGTATGTGCACCGTTCAGAGCAATATACATATACAAATATGTATATATATATATATATATATATATATATATATATATATATATATATATATATATATATATATATATATATATATATATATATATATATATACTATATATATA